AATAAAACGGTTAAATTTTTAAAACCTTTTAAAATTCCAACACTTGATTGGTTGATTATACAACCATGCCTATGTATAGTTGTTCCTAGCCGACTTTGCCAAGTTCCACCGACTTGGGACTTCTTCTCCTAGCCACATATTGTTTCTTCTCTAGATAATTCTCTAAGCTTTAATTTGGCTGCCAACTTGCTTAACCGACTTTGGCTTTCTTCTTTCCAGACTTATACTAACCGACATACCATTCTAGAGTTTGGGTTTGCACCAACTTTTGTAGAATTAACTATAGTATTCTAATACAATGTCTAATAGCTAGGTCGGTGACTTCTCTTTACGTTTTCAGATTTTTCTACAATTGTCTAGTTCAAGTGTTGGCAATCTTCCATGGGCTGGTCTTCATTCCCTTGGGCTGTGGGCTGGTGGTGATGTTTTAACAGAGCATGCAACGCACCAAGACCTTGAACTCCTCTTTGACTGCTTCGAAGATGTCCACCACTCTGCTCCAGCGCAACCTTGTTAACGATTTATATGTTACACGCACTGAACGTTGCGACTCATCAACTGTTATTTGGGCTCTCTTAACACCTAATATAGCTGGCAATGTTGAATTACGGAGAACAGAAATTCAAAGATCATGTCACAACTGATGACAACCAAATTTTTACCTGTATTATGCTAACTTTGTATGACCAGAATTGTATGGTTTGTCTACAATGCCTAGATTATAACTGCTAAACTTTTCCTCCAGGCTCTGCCTTTGCTTTCTCAAGCACTTGAGAATGAAGACTTTAAAGGGTTGGCAGATCCAAGGCTGGAAAAGAATTATGTTGAGAATGAAATGTTTCGAATGATTGAGGCGGCTTCAGCTTGTGTGCGTCATTAAGCTGCGAAAAGGCCATGGATGAGACAGGTATTTACAAAATATGGTATGACCCTTTCCAACATTTTGTTTGTACTGCTGAGAACTAATACACTTTCTCCACTTGCTAGGTGGTAAGGGCTTTTGACTCCTTAGATGAATTATCAGATCTCAGTAACGGAATGAAACCTGGACAAAGTGAAATTTTTGATTCCGCACAACAATCTGCACAAATTAGAATGTTTCAGA